GCAACACGCGCTCGTTGAAATGCAACTGGCTAAGGAATAAATTACGACAAGACGTAATCTGATGAACGCCGCTCAGCCAAATTGGATCCGTCGATTGACCTCGGAGTCGAAGTTTAACTAGTCGGACAATTCGTTATAGGTAAACATATTGCTCAACAACTTCCGAGGCGTAGGATTCCCAATAACTACCGGCATAGATGTGACACGAACGTTATACATGATCATTGTCTTGCCTATGTTCATCATAAAATCTATTCATTGGGAGATAATATTGAGGACTGCTCAACTGCAATAATGAATATAATATAGTCTGCAATTTTAAAGTGAATGATGTACTTACTTTTAATATTGATGTCGTATCCTTTCCAGTCTTGTATTTTGAAAACATTCTGCCAATCTAGCAGTGAAGAGTTTTGGGGATATATAAAATGTAAAAAATGCAATTCTGGCTTTGTATTCAGATTTGTAGCAACTATGGCAAACATTCCCCTAATGATAATGATAGGTAAGTATAATTAAAAATTACAGTAATACCGTTTAAGCAACTTATGTAGCCATTGCTATTTAAAAGGATTATCTGTTTGTTCATTCCTTTATCTATTCCAAATCAGTCATTAATCCTTCCAGTATTTGATAATACTTACTTAGACAAGGTGTTTGATTGTTGTACGCAATATCGTGGTAGAGCCATGCTGCAGCTATATTAGTAGGATAGTTGTAGCACGAATGGGTCGGTTCGACCGGGGAAGGAGCACGCTCTCACAGAATACCAGCGTAAAATGCTTAACACTGTTGTGTTTCGTATGGTGAGTGTAGAGAACCGAAGACCCTTTTCACTGGAAAAGAGGCATTCCATCTTAGACCTCAGGGATGGCAACGCATATACGTTTTGTTTCTTATTTATGGATAGACACAAATTTCTATGGGCCACAGCAACCACTTACCATCAGGTGGACTGTGTGCTCGTTTGTCACCTGTCACAAAGCTTTTGAACCTACAAATATGGCTAAAGTTGAATTCTTTTTGTCTTCAAATTTATCTGTCTTTGATATTGGGCTGAATTAGATCTATTATGGTCAATAATTAATAAATATGTATCATCATCATTCATCATTACAGTTTGTTCAGCAGTGGGCTTCTAAATAAACCCACTGTTGAACTAAGTCATCCCCCAAGGAATACCATAAAGCATGGTCCTGAGGCACATGCATCCATCGGCTTCCTGCCTTACCAGGTCGTCACTCACATCTCGTAGGGGCCGCCTCACACTTCGCCTACTGATACGAGGCTGCCCGTTCGAGAACCTTTCTTCCCCATCGGTTGTCGGTTCTTCGAGCTATATGGCTGGCCCATGGCCACTTCAGCTTACTAATCCATTGGGCTGTCGGTCACTCTGCTTCTAATACGGATATCCTCATTTCTAAGTTTATCACGCAGAGAAACCCCGAGCATAACCATCTCCAATAGCTCGCGGAGCGACCTTGAGCTTCCTCATACGGCCAGCAGTGAAGGAACACGTCTCAGATCTATAAGTCATCACTGGCAACACGCACTGGTTGTACAATCTTGTTTTCAAGTTTTAAGGTATACCTGACGAGAAGATGTGTCGAACTGAACTCTGTCCAACCGGGTTGTAATCATTAATTGACCTCTCGGTCGAAGTTGGACTTACCTAGTCGGACTATTTGTGCCAGGTAAACATAAGTATGCTAACAAGTGTTAGCAACTTCGAGCTTAGAGCTACCGGCATAGGTGTGACATTGATGTTACACACAATCTATAATTTGTCCATGTTTGTCATTTTAACCCTAGAGAGATAATCTACGTATTTGCTAAGTAAACGAAACACAAAAATCGCTGTTTCTTTTTTATTTCGCATCGTAGTGCACTCTATTAGTTATCTCAATTTTCGGGTAGAGCTTATGCGTGATGGCGGTGTCAATACTGTAAATACAATAAATATATGGCATACGTCTGACAGACGTATGATTATCCTTTGTGTAACTTTTCGGACTTCTTTATTGTATTTATTGTTTATCAACAATTTATTTATCAATGATTTTTAGGTAATATTGGTATACTTCACTGCAATAGCTGGACGCAGCATCCTTGTTTAGTCACATTGAGGCAATATTAGAGAAACTAATCGAATAACCATGAAGTACTCTACATAGGACCTTTAAAACTAACAAACAAACATTACGTGTGACTTCTGGTTCACGTCTGTTCCTTTGGACATATGCTTGCTACAGGAACCCTACAGACTGACACTGGTAGGCACCATACGCTCAAATAACCGAGAGATCTTAGGAAAACTAAAGAATACTCAATCGCGACCAGTTGTGTCTTCGATGTTCTGCTATAACGTGCCTTTGAGGCTTGTATCATACAAACCAAAACCATCAAAAATTCATTTATTATCGCCCTTAGATGAAATAGGTACAATCAATCAAAGAACTGGTAAATCAGGGATAATCATGTATTACAACTAGACGAAAGGTGGCGTAAACACATTCGATAAATGTTACAAAAGAAAACATATTCTTCATACTATACATCAAAAATAAGAAGGATGTCGTAAATAACATGTTTTAAATGTAAAAGACCAATTCGCGGAGAGACACAAGTAATCTATGAAATCGTTGTACCTAATTATAATTTAGGGTACTAACTAGTATTTAACGTTTTGTAATACATTAAAAAATTGTAATTTAAATCGCTAAATAAACATATTTTTCATAAAAGGAAGACTTCATAGTTTATAGTTGCTTCATAAGAAGTTTACAAAATATTGTTATTTTTTCAGATTATATTCCATTTCTCTCATAATGATTTTAGCTTAATTAGTAGTACAAAACTGTAAAATAATTATACAATTACCTATAACCTGTGTAACTATGGTAATTTTACGAATATGTACATTTAAAGTTCGGTACGTCTTCAAGACGTATGATTATCTTTAAAGTAGGTGTAAATATGATTATATTTCTAGGGTTACGGACCTATCCGTTGGTGGGTACTATTGAGCTCATTGAGCATAGTGCATAGGTCTTCCAACGATTCTGCCTTAAGGTCTACATCATCGGCAAATAGAAAGTAAGTGGTGTATTCGCCATTAGTGTTAATACCATATCCCTTCCAGTCCAGTATTAGCCTAAAAATGTCTTCCAATGCAGCAGTGAAGAGTTTCGGAGATATAATGTCACCCTGTCTTACACCTCTCTGCATTTGGATAGATTTCGTGCTCTGGTTCTTTAGTCGGATAGCCATTGCAGCCTTACTGTACAAACACTTCATCGTTTTGATATACCAACTGTCAACTTGGCACCCCTGAAAGGGCTGCAACACCGCCCAAATTTGGACGAAATTAAAGACTTTCTCACTCATAGATCACATACCCAACACAAATCATTATCATTATCTCCCAAAAATTACCTTTCTTAATATCAACCTCTTCCCGTGGCCTCTCCCGCAATTGAGAAAGTATTTGTCATTATTGATAAAGCTAGGCTTTCGCACCAGGTTGCTTCCAATCTCGATCCTAGTGTAGTGTGTGTTCCAAACGATCTCTCAGATCTCAAGAGGTTTTCAGTTCTTTTAATCAACTTCAAAATGTAATGTTACATAAAATGTATAATACTTACGATAGCTCTCACATTTCTTAAACAATTTTATTGATATATAAAAGAGTTATTGGTCCCATAAAGAAACCAAAAGGAAATTAAGATTAATAAGCGATATAAATAATATTTTTAGGCTCTAACCGTGAGAATCATCTGTGAAATTATATTAATCTTGGCAATAAGATTCTATTATGTTTAGTCGGTGTTTTTAACTATATCTTTTAAAAAAGAAACAGCTTTTAATAAGTTTACTTAATTTTATTAGTTAATATTATTACAAAGATGTAAATAATTATAAAACTATATAAAGCTACATTTCTAAATACCTTTTAATTAACACAGTACCAATTATATGGTAACTGTTTAATTGGTTCCAATAGAACAATCTAAAGTGACATGTATAAAAATGTCAATTGTGCACAATGCCCAGGCAATCGCTGTCCTCTGGTAAGTAATAAAGACGATAATTAATGATCAAGACCAAACCACACATCTAGAGTTCACTTGAGGCAAATTTAGGTTCTTGAATAAAATTCCCAATACATTTCTAACAACTTCATATACCTTAAATCATCTTATTTTTTATTTAACTGTCAATTAATATCACTTATGTTGTATTTTATAATTAAAAAGAGTACAAAAATATGTCAACTTTACTTATCACATTAATTGAGGTCATTTATGGAATGGACTGTTGGCTCAGTATCTCTCAATACATACAACTTTACCAACTTTTTCACATTTGAACATAAAAATAAAAATACAGTTTACAACTATAATTTAATAAATATTGAGTAGTTTCATGTGAAATGATTAGTTATGAGGACTGGTATACTTTTAGATATTAAAAATTACTCATACTTTTTTTATTAATAAATGCAATTATTTAAAATTTGTTTAAAATATTAAAAGTTAATATCAGTCTAGAGAAATGTAGAATTAGTACAGGGTATAATTTAAATGAATAAATACAGAAATAAAAAATTTAACCCCAATAAAAGTACTTAGCCTAATATAAACATCATAATTTGGCACATTTTTTTTTAACTCTGTGAATTAAATATAAAAAAATATTTCTATTTCATAAGTTTAGTGACATCTATAATTTTGTTGTCAAAACATATTTCATATTTTCACACATGTATTTGTGATATGAGAAAATTTTTATACAAAATGTTAAATATTATGCGTGTTGGAAACCATACATTTAAATCAAGCAAATTTATAGTTATACAAATAACTCAAATGACAAAATAAACACTCCACAGAAATATGGAGTTTACATGCACCACTAAATGTTCATAACAGGAACTTGAATTATTGTATAATCATACATGTATCTTGCAAGAAAACTTCACTATCAAACTGATAATAATATTACATGAGTACACAGTCGCAGCATTCTAAAGTATAGTAAAGGCATTTCATACCACAGCCTTCTTCTTCAACTGTAGATGCTGCTGATCGAGCTTTATGGGGTGGTGGTGGGCGCAGATAGACACTGTCAACTTTGTCACCAACTTTGTCTTTCTCTGATGTTGCTACAGGAACTTTGTTTCTTGGGTCCATATTTTCCAAATAATCATCATCTTTATCACTTTTTTCATTTGAGTCGCCAGCTGCTTCCTGGAAAAGAAATTTGTTTAAAATTAATAACATCATAAAAATTAGTAGTTTGCTTCCCAACTGACTTCCGGAAAATTGGGTAACATGTCATAATTCTATCAGTTTCCTGCATTTTCTGAGATCATCATACAATATACATCCTATAAAGATAATAAGATGGAACTGAATTACAGGGTCACCAGTGTTTTGGCTCAAAACTGTCGGTTCAGGTTTGTTTGTCATAAGTGTTTCTGTATGAAGTCTATTCTTAGTGCATAGCTATCTATATATATTAAAATTTTTTAGACTAATTGTCATGGTTCTCCATCCTTCAAATGAGAGCACAATAGTGGATATGCTATGGCCCGTTCGGGCAATATAAATAACACCCAATATGAGTAGGCAATGTGATAATAACTAATAAATAAATAAGATAACAAGACATTTGAAAATAAAGTGTATATATATATATATATACATATAAAGAAACCTAGATAACTGGAACCTTAACCTTAAGGGCAAATTTGTCTCACTTAAAGAGGTATTCCACTTACCCAGTGTCTCAGATATCCGTGTATAGATAAATATCTGTCTCATTTCCAGAGGGTTCCATTAATAGAGGTGAGAACAGAGGTTATTTCAGTTATAGCTGTGCGATTATCAAATAAAATAACATATTTTGTAAACATAATACATAAACATCTGGACGATAGCAAAACCAAACTAAAACTGGAGGTCACATTTACACAATTAGCCAAGTGAGTTTTTGGAATTTTGGGGATTTTTTTCTAGCATAGGGAATTTGCGGGTAGAATAAGAATTAGTAAACAAAACGACACAAAAAATATAGTCCCAGTAAACGAGGTAAAATATACTCAGTTTCAATTATAGAGGTAATTATGATGAATAAATTCGAAAGAACTAATCTATAAAATATAGTGTCAGTAAAGGAGATAAAATACACTCACTCTCAATTATAGAGGTAATAATGACGATAAAATCGAAAGAACTAATCCCAGATATAGAGGTTTGTTTTGTACCACTAACAGAGGTAATACAGTCCTAAAGTGTTGGGACCTCAGCATGAGTTCCAGCTATCTCACTTATATAGGTTTATGCAACTTATTCAAGTTTTACTGTAAATGTATAGTATGATACTTACTCTTATGATTACTACTTGTGTCAAATAAAACATTACACCAATCTTGCAATATCAGTAACAGTAGGTTAAGGTGTAAAATTAAGGTAAAAACATAATTATATAATCATTATTGGGGTCATTGTAGAAGCGTGCTCGTCGCGACCTCTGCCAGCCCTTTTCAGGGCTGCAATTCTACTCAGCTGCGCACCCGTGCCAACGAGGGTTAGGGCGTCCCCCCAAGGCGACGCACACCAGCTCGTCCCCGTTAGTGTGGAATGCAGCGCGCAAAGCGGCGATGGGGACCGCCACCCGTCACGCACAGCCCGACACGGCGGAAGGTGGAGGACAGAGTGCAGAGTTGGCACGTGGAATGTTAGAGGAGGCATGAGAGACAAGATGAATGAGTTGATCGAAATAATGAAAGAAAGAGAATTAGATGTCGTGTGTATGTCGGAGACCAAGCGGAAAGGCAGTGGTACTGAAGAGCTCCCTGGCGGGGCGTTAGCTCTATGGTCCGGAGTCCCGGAGAGCGAGAACGCCTGCCAGGGAGTGGGGGTGCTGCTGTCTTCTCGGTTGGTCGATGTTATGACTGAATATAAGGTTGTGTACTCAAGACTTCTCTGGGTTCGCTTTAAATTGGGACTGACGAAGTTATTCCTTTTGGCTGTTTATGCGCCGGTAGCTTCGTCGTCCAGGGCTGAGCTGAAGGAGTTTTGGGAGAATGTAATAGAAGTTCTAGATTTGGCTAGGGGAAACGAAAGAATTGTTGTATGTGGTGATTTGAATGGATGGGTTGGTACCGCTCGACCAGGGTACGAGTCGGTACTTGGAAAGTTTGGCGATAAAAGGGTTAATGATGCTGGCAAGCTTATACTGGCGGTGTGCAAGGAAAAGGGTCTTCTTGTGACAAACACTATGTTTAATCACAAGAAAATCCATATGTATACTAGAGAACGAAAGAATGAGAGAAGTATGATCGATTTGTTCCTGGTGGATGACCGACTGCGAAAACAGGTGATGGATACGCGAGTGTTCAGGGGTGCTGACCTGGGAACGGATCACTATCTAGTGATTACTAGATTTAGGGGTCTGTTCGCGGGTTGGCGCTACCGGACGGCAGTAACAGAACCACAGTCGGTCTGTCGCATCCGAAGCTGGAAGCTTCAGGAAGCGGATACTAGGGACAAATATCATGCGAGGGTAGCCGAAAAGCTTGACACCATCGATGGCAGAAAAGAATGTGTAGAAAGAACTTGGCAGAACCTTAGGGATGGAATGGTAAGTGCAGCGGAAGAAGTGTGTGGAACAATAAAAAGAGGCAGTAGTAAAAGAAGAGATGCATGGTGGAATGATGAAGTGAAAGAAGCTGTAAAGAAGAAGAAGAAACCATGGTTAGACTACTTGGCCTCTAGTAATGGTAAGGATATGAGAGAGAAGATGAAAGAAAGATATAGGCTGCAGAAAGTTCACACGAAAGCACTGATTGAGGAAGTGCGTGAAAGGTGTAGAATGGAAGCGGACGAAAGGTTGTCGCACAACTTTAAGGAGAACTCCAAACTCTTCTGGAAAGAGGTTGGAAGGGCCCGAAGTGGTGCGACGGCCTTAAGAATGAACAAAGTGCTTTCGAGAACTAATGACGTCCTCTCAGAAAAATCGGACGTCATGCAGCGATGGAGCGAGTTTTATAGAGAAATGTATGCGTGTGATGATCTTAGTGAGGGATCCGGGGATGACGCCGTGACTGGTACGCCAGACCCGGACCTGGATGACACTGAGATCATCAGTATGAAAGAGATTGAACGTGCGATTCGAAGTTTGAAATGATGTAAGGCTGCGGGACTAGACAGAGTTACTGCTGAAATGGTCAAGTATGGTGGGCCTCGCGTCTGGGACAGCTTTTATCTGCTGTGCAATTTATGCTGGCGGACGGGGGATGTCCCGGATGATTGGCGATCCGCAGTCATTGTGCCTTTATATAAAGGTAAAGGTTCACATTTTGACTGCGGGTGCTATCGGGCGATCAGCTTGACCAGTTTAGCAAGTAAAGTTTATTCGAAGGTTTTGACACGTAGGATGCAAGAGAAATCGGAAAGATTTCTATGGGAGGCACAATGCGGATTTAGACCTGGAAGAGGATGCACGGATCAAATGTTTTCTCTCCGCATGATCACGGAAAAGCTTCTGGCTGCTAACCAGAAGATTTTCTGTGCTTTTGTGGATCTTGAGAAAGCATTTGATAAGGTTGTAAGGAAGAAAATGTGGGAACTGTTGCCGGGGTATGGTGTGGATGGACGATTGCTAAGGGCTGTGCAGTCTCTTTACTGTGACTGTAAAGCCTGTGTGCGGGTAGGGAATGACCTGTCACCCATGTTTAACGCCCAAACGGGCGTAAAGCAGGGTTGTGTCATGTCTTCCTGGCTATTCATACTGTATCTCGACAGCTGTTTACAGAAGCTGAAAGATTAAACTGAAATTGGGTGACATAAAAGTAAATTGTCTGCTGTACGCTGATGATGCAGTGCTTATTGCACCATCAGAGTCAGAACTGCAGGCATTAGTCACGTGTATGAAAGAGGAATGTGAAATTAAAGGTCTCCGTTTGAATGCTAATAAAACTAAGGTTCTGGTATTTGAAAGGGACGAAGAGAGAACGAAGTGTGAAATATGGGTAAATCAGGAATGTCTAGAACAGGTAAATGAAATTGTATACTTGGGGAGTGCTTTTAGCCGGGATGGAAGATGTGATTTAGATGTGGACAGGCGTGTCGCTGCCGGGAACAAAGTCAATGGTGCCCTGACTGCGTTATTCAAAAGGCAAGGCGTAGCGAAGAGTGCACGCCTTGCAATACATAACGCAGTGTTGGTACCGACTTTGTTATATGGCAGCGAAACCTGGGTATGCCAGAAGAAGCATAAAAGTAAGTTGAATGCAGTGGAGATGCGATCTCTTCGTAAAATGTGCGGCGTTACCTTGGCCGACCGAAAGCGAAACTAAGAGATTCTCAACATGGCAGGTTTGAAAGATGACCTTAACACAAAAATTGATAAGGGCGTGCTTCGGTGGTTTGGGCACGTTGAGTGAATGAGTGAAGACCGAATGGTGAAGAAAATATATAGCGCGAAAGTTAATATTAAAAGGTGTCGAGGTAGACCGAGACTAACTTTCAAAGACCATGTGAGCAAATTGCTCGAAGAGGGTAGGGTCAAGAGTACTCGGATACCTAGGCGTGCATGCATGAAGAAGATAATGAATCTGAAAGAAGCGAAAGAGGTTTGTAAGGATCGTGACACTTGGCGATCTGTTCTCTCTGGCTACCCCGTCAGGGACTGTGCGTGAAGATAAGTATATAATCATTAACTATAAATAAATTAATATTAAAGAATTGAATGTTTAAATTTATAAATTATCTTGTGAATAAGTATTTTTTTTATATGATTATTCATTATGACATTCAGACAATGTGATAAATAATGAAGTTCAAACCAATATTAATTACATAGCCCAATTTAACTTGTCATTATTCATATTGCCCGGGCATTATAAATAGTGATCTAATTAATCACTTGGTCCATAACAGATACACTATTATTTTGCAGCAGAAATACCCTGCAAATCTGTAGTACCTACTCAGATGGATATGAAGAATATTCTATAACAAATTGTAGCTTAAACTATTTAATATTCAACTTTTACAGAATGTTAAGGCAATATTGTAACATTAATTAATAAATTAAAAATTCTATTTCAATGACTATTAGTGAGCACTCAATGTTTTAAAAATATAATTAAACAAGAAAGAAATATTACATACTTTACTTTCTTCTTTGTCATGTTGAATAAATTCTTTCTTCTCATCGGAGTCGATATTGCCTCCAATGTCTGGTGGCAATCCATCTGAAACCACTGCTGCCATTGTTACTGGAACCTTTGTTTTTTCTGGTACTAACAAATCTGTTTCTTCTTTTTTCTTAAAAGCTTGATGGCCAGATGAATCTCCGGACATACTTGAAAGAAATAAATCGTAAGAACCACTATTCCGTTTAGTGAATAATTTTACTTGTTTAATTTTCTTTATACTAATAGTCTGAAGTGAATAAAATTCATTACAAGTCTGTCGTGACATGCATACGGATTAAATATCACATCACAATCTAACATCGAAGGAATAACGTAAACAAGTATATAAGGCGTAATCGTATAAATGTTCACTCAATTCACCTTACTAGTGCGGTTGACTCTACTGGTTCCACTGTTTCTCCGGACAAACGACGCCATGTGCTAATGATTGTTTCAAAATTGTTTTCTTGCATTTTGGTTGGCAAGAAACATAAAGTGACCAAAAAGTTTTATTTTTACATATAGTAAAAAAGTTACGAAGGTTTATTTCAAAATATTTATCAGAAATAACAAAGAGCTAAAACACACAAGTATTAATTTACTTTAAACTTAGAAACTAGTAGTTGATTTGCAATTAACTTGTTAAAGTAAATTAAGGAGGATCACACTTTTCACATGATTTTCTCTTCACCTTAAACTTTTGTTTACAGTTTACACCGCTCGTTATGGGTTTACATTAACATTTTACACTTTACATGTTCTGTGTACCAACCATAGATAATAATACACTATAGTACCAACTACCAACTTATTTTATGATTTTTGGCTTGGATGCTTGTTTTTTAAGCTATCTCAGTATCAAGACATGATAATAATCCTTTATAGTAGAGGCTCCCAAATTTTAAGGTAATAGAACACTCACCAAAACACTTATTTTATGAAACTCCCACATCAATTAATTTCATATCATAGACATTGTAATCGAAATATTATAATATAATTCTCGCTAACTACCTACATACCTACATAACAGTAATGGGTTCTTCTAATCACATATTTTGCGCTATTTTAAAATAGTATTAGTGTTTAATTGTGAAATTATTTAACAAGGAAAAATATATAATTTCGTGGAACTTCGTTACTTTTCCACGGAACCCACTTTAGGAATCTCTGCTTGAGAGTACCTACACTGATAGTAACTCAAGGCGCCTAAGCAGATAGACACCTTATCTTGAGATTCACATCACCATAGGAGCACTTGTTACACCGTTTCCTCTAATAGTTCACATACGCAGACATTTTAATATCTACACAAAATCGTACCACTTTTACATTTCAAAATCCACTTCAAACCATTATTTAAACAATAATACAGGAGCAGCAATCTGTCGCCGGTCAAGTTCCCGACAAAACACCTACATTACCTACACTCCTAACATATCTAAGCATAGACAACTAAAGAGATAAACATAGAGAAGAGTAATATGTACTGTTGACTAAAACATACGTGTAAAAATCTAATGCAAAATTGTGTTATGAAAACGTTAGCTCTCTGTAAAACATTTAGATAATCAAGCGAATAAGTTACAACTATCTATATCATATATCTATCTACGCCACAACTTGTGCGATGTATATATCGCAGTCAACTAACTTAATTAGCTTTTCAGTTAACAGCTTAGCTTAGTCTAGCCTCTTTTACAAAACGGCGCCGATCAACTAGCGGCATCATATATATTCAGCCAGTGATGTTAGATAGTTACTCAATTAACTTGGTACAGATGTCGTTAAAACCTGGTAATGCAAGTAAAAAAATTGGTACACTCATACAGTAGTATTACAGATATTATAGTATGTGTTTACGGATATGGTATAATGTACTACCGCCTAGTGCAGTACATACGATTCAGGCTATACATACATTAAACCGTACTACCACAATTCTTGTTAATAAATAATAACACGAAATGAAAATAGGTTTGCAAGTGTTTTTATTTGATTGAATTCGAACCACCGAACAAACTGACACCACCGACAACAGGACGCGAACCCTGATCGAACATTTCTTATATTCCTCTATGAGAACTGGCCAGTTCGCACTATTATTGATAAGATGAACATTAATTGCATAAATAAAGGGCTTACAACATACTATTAGTGTAAACGGTAAATAACAACAATAATGAATAACGTGATTACTGATAATAACAATGCCTCACACTTAGTTTTTAAAAATAGCAAAATAAATTATTATTTATGGTCGATGTCAAAAACTTGGTATTTTTGCGTATCAGGACAGTTATTTGTTTGTACATGATATAAGAACCCAAAAAATGGTAGGCATACTAAGAAATTGGTACGTCTAACTTCACTGTATTCAGGCGATGCGTCTAACACAATATTGCACCTATCTTGTAATATCAGCGACAGTAGGTTGAGGCTGGGGTATCCCTCGGGCCACATAGCAATCGCGCACATTTATATAATGTATAGCGGAAAATAAGGCACAGACTAGCAATCGTCTCGTTAAATGAAATTAATAGAGTGACCATGTCATGTAGTGTAAAAAGGTTCACTGACAAGTAGCAAAATATTTGGTATTCAAATATATCTATTATAAAAGCGTATTTTAAGTACATCACATTAATTTTTGTTTTACGTTAATACACGCAGTAATAACGTAAAAGTGAAGTTATTACAACAAGAAGTTCGGAGCGGTTTCTCAGCGGTTGAGATTTCGCACGCTCGTGATGTGACGTCATATTTCGCGTCTCTCACTGCTTTGCCATCCACTTACGTTAGCAACGGTCAAACACGCTTGGTTTTCCGCAATTTGTTTTTCCTATGTAATTTAAAAAGTTTTAAGTATTCTTTAATAATATCATAACCCTTTGTGTACAATTTTCTTTAATAAAACATCTAAACTTGGTTTTTTTTTACAAATTTTATACCTTTTTTGGGATTTTGTAGTAAAAACACTCTTAAGCACCTTTACACGCCGATGGCGGTGTGATACGTAATCTGAAATCTAATCTCGATACGAGTACCTAATTATAATAAATATATTGGAAGCATGATTATTATGATATTTCGAATATAGTCTGTTTGCTTAGATACGTTTGTCATCGCGTCGTGCCGCCATGGTACGCGCCGCATCGCGACATCAAAGGGCGCCGAGTGCGGTGTACACCCACGGGAGAATTTGGCATTTTAAAACGAGGCGCCGTAGCTAAATGTTCTTTCTACCTAACTTGTGTTTACTATTCATATTCGTATCTTACTACAATAACCATTATAATAATATAGTATTCTATTTTATTCTTAGAATAAAAAAAAAACATTTATTCAACGAACACAACAAAAATTATTTATAGTAAAACTACTTTAATAAGCGGAATTAGAATCTTCAACCTATATTCATTAAGTCATTAGAGAGCCCACGATTTAAGAAAAATCTGAAAGAATGGTTGTTGTTAAAATGCTTTTATAATCTAGATCAATATTTTAAGAGTAATGATTGATTTATTGTTGTGATTTATTTTTGTATTATATTGTATGTCCAAAGTGGACAAACTGTTGTAACTATATTTTGTACTCGTATTTGTAATGGTCCCCACTCACGGTCAGTTAAACTGATCAGTTTAACTGACGTACATAAAAAAAACTGACCGTGAATGTGAAATCTTAAGTTAAAATTTTTAACTGACGGCAACCCACGTATTTTTCCGGGCGCAATGTAATCCGCTGGCTTCAGTTCGTTTCCATTATTGGTAAGTACATACTTTCTTAGTAGCTTATATATATATATATATATATATATATATATATATATATAAGCTACTATATATATATATATATATATATATATATATATATATTATAATTTTTTATAACATTATTAGTATGCTGTTTAGATTTTATATTATTTTATATATTTTGTGGAGGCAGTTTACAAACACAAATTGTACAAGGACAAACATCCAGACCCGCAACAATTATTTGTAGGCCATACAAATACTTCGAACCCGCGCCCCCCAGCGCAGCAATTCATTGCTAAGCCACTACGCCATGGTCATATATATTTAGAGAAGTTGGTTTGAAAGAAGATGGAGACCAAGGTGATTGTAATGATGTCACCTTCCTTATGGTGGACTCAGAAGGTGGGTAAAGGATCTCAGTGATGCGACTACGTAGAACCATCGTGTTTGAACTCATTTTGAAATAGGTAAATGAAGACCTGATGACTGTTATGATATCAATTTTCTGTTGGTGCAATCAGAAGGTGGGTATAGGATCTCAGTGACGGCACTAGATAGAAGGATCGAGTTAGAACTCATTTGAAAGGGCTCATAAAGACCTAGGTGGCTGTTATGACCTCACCTTTTTGATGGTGCAATCCGAAGGTGGATAATCGTTTGAAGTGGATTTTTATCAAAGTGATGCGATTATGTGTATTAAGTATCTGTGCATGTGAACTATTAGAGAAAATGACGAAATAAGTGCTTCGATGTTGGTATAGCCTCAAGTTATTTTGATTGCTTAGGCGTCTTATGATTTACTTCCGTGCTATCAGAAATAGCTGTTAAATATTTGATTTCTTCAGCTGCATCCGTAGCATCTGAACGAATTACTTCTACAAACAATCTTTTAGTGCACAATAATCGCAGTATTGAAACAGCTGAACATATAAAACAACGAGTATTTTTGAAAACTCTTACTGAAAAATATTGCTAAACATAATTGTCTTATTTAAATTAAACAATAATTAAAGTTAAAGTTACAGCCTTATACGTCCCAATGCTGGGCACTCCTCAGCTGGGCAGGCCTCTCCTAATTTCTGAGAGGGTTTTAGGGCAACGTCCGCCACGCTGCCCCAATGCGTGTTGGCGAACTTCACGTTTTTTGAAATTTTTATTTTATTTCTCAGACATGCAGGTTTCCTCACGATGTTTTCCTTCATCGTCGAGCACGTGATAAATCAGCACTTAAAATTGCAATTAACAATTTCATTGGTGCCGGCGGGGATCGAACCCGAGTTGCTCGTGTACTGTGAAATTTACAGCGAATGCTAACCATCTGAACTACCATGGGTCATTAATAATTACTTAGAACTAACTTAACCTAATATTTTCATACATTTATAATTTAATTTATTTAATAAATATACTAAATTATAAGCTGTGTAAATCATTTTTAAGCAATAAGCATCGATATATCGCTTATGTCTTCGACAAATAAATATCCTATATTGATATATTTATAATTATCGGTATATTGAAAATCCGATATTTTAAAAATATCAACAGTTTGAACTGATCAGTTGGAATGATCAACTGAACTGACCGTGTGTGTCCTACTTGTGTGTGTCGAACTTGTTTTGGATTAAATCCGTTTGAAATGATCTGTTGAATTGATGTCAGTTTAACTGACCGTGTGTGGGGCCCATTGCGCACCTTAATTCGAAGGCTAGGGT